ACATTTTGTTTGCAACAAATGTTGCATAGTGTATGTTGGGCTTTATAATAATGATGGCTCAAATTACTACTAATGACAATGTGTTGTAAATCTAATGATATAACTTACTTTTAATATTTATTTGAGTAGTAGCTGATTGTTTAACATCACTTGATTGAACATATGAATTATTACTACGAATATAGGAACAAGCATAATATCCTCCTGAATATGATAATTTGAAATTAGTGAAGAGAATGTTTAAAGATTGTTTGTGACTACCAGTGGCACCAATATCAAATACACCTGACTTAATGACCTCTTTGTTGTGTGTGATGTTAACAGTACCCTTAGTAGCAATAGGAGGTGATAATTGATAAGCAGTAATCATACAAGTTGCATTAAAACTGTCTCCAGCTATATATTCATTAAGAGACATGCTAACAACATCTCCAGAATTATTGACTATAAAAAGCACATAAAGGAAAACAGGTTAGTGATGACACTTACTTTTCATCATAACTTGTACATTATTTGATGTTTTATTTCTTACTGATTGTTCTCCTATCCATGCTACACAAGTGTAATTACCAAGTGTTGATACTGGAGTTGATGATGTTATTGGACTGAACCTCAGTGCACTATTGAATGATGTATTAGTAATAGACACAATGGGTAGTATAGATACTCCTTCACTGTCTTCTGATACTAGTCTGTTCTCATTACCATTGTCTCTATACCAGTATGCATTAACTATACTGTTAATATCAGTGTTAGTAGTGTTAATATCAGTGTTAGTAGTAATATGACACTCTAACTGGTGAGAAGTGCTTGATAAAATTAATGAGTCAATATTAGTCACCACTGTCTTTATAAATGTATCTAATAAAAGGTGACAAATAAACATTATTTGCTGACCATACCTTTCACAGTAATAGATACATTCACTTGTTGATAAGGACAGTTAGTTGGATTTTTTAAGATTAGTAAACTACAAATATACACTGTATTGTTGATTGACTGATCCGCTGTTAATATGAGAGGATTTTGAAACACTTTACCAGATGTATATTCTGCCCAAGATGCAATTATTTCTACTCCTGAGTGTCCATAACCTAATGTACAATCATACTTTCTAACATCTCCTAGTCTTAAATCAGCATCAAAAGAAATATTTATGACAGGAACTAAATGAAAACATTTATTAAATTTTAATTTTCATTATAGACTAACCTTTAACACAAAGATATGATTTATTACTTATAACAGTATCATTACCATCAATACTAGCTCCACACTGATATTCTCCAGCATCAGAGAGTTGAACACTAGTAATATTCAGTGTTGTTACTAGACTCTTATTGTCACCATTAATCATCAGTTGTGTACTCCTATCACTAATATCAGTACTATACTGATACCAGTAATGACTAATGAATGATGTATCAGTACCTATCCCAGTATTAAGACTGATAGTACAGGTCAGTAC